TTTTCCTTTGTTTAAGGGTATTTGGGCAGTTTATTCTCTGTTGTATTCTCAAGCAAACAATACATACAAGTACAGTACAGTATTTTCTGAGGAAACACGCATACTTATCCTTTTTTAACCCCATTCCCGATAACCCGGCATTTTCACAAACTCGGCCACCCTTCGGTCCACATTAGGCCAAGTTTTCGAGGTTCTACTGTACCCCAAAATTCCCATTTTTCCCTTTAAAAAGGGATATTTTCATAGTGTTCTAAAATCTTCTTACTTAAAATAGAATTTAACGTATATTTACTATTGTAACTTCACTGTTTAAAACTAATTCTGTTTAGCTGTAATGAAAAGACAAAGAAAACAGTAATTTTACTATAAAAATAAGCGTTTCTTTTTTTCATAAGTTTGTTTTTATTCCTTTTTAAACCATACACATAACAATACAGAAGTATTAAAATAAAATATTTCATTTATAACATACCATTACAAACTTCATAGTAATTTTGAAAGTATGAGTCATTATATTCTCTTCGTCATTAATTAATATGATCATACATATTCTGATTGAATCTTTCAAACATGCTGTAATTATATTGCATTGCAAGTTTCTGCATGTAATTTCCTTTCTTTGTAAGTAGTAGTTGCTTGGTTATAGCAAAGCGACACTGGCAATCTGTCGAGGGAGGATGTCTTCCGAGTGGTCTTTCTAAGGGAAACTGCCCCACAATTAGGTGTTACTAACGTGAAGAAAACCCGGAAACGTCACATGGCAAGCCCTTTGACGAGGCGTTAACCACGACCAGTGTTCAGCGGTTTTACCCACTCGGCCACTGTTATACTCATTGTAAGTGGTAACAGATTGTACGATGTGTATTCAGAATAGGCCTAAATAAAGGCGAAAAAAGCAATGCTCAGGGTCTCGCAGATTTGGTAGTAGTTAATATTTTAATACAATGAAGAGTTGAAAATCCAGACTAATTGAGACCAGACCGCATCCAGATTTTTATACGTTTTTCGATCGCCGAATTCGGATTTTCGACTCTTCACTGTATTTAAATCATGAAACTGGTAATTATAAATAGTATAATTATATACAGATCACAGATGACATAAAGGGAGAAAACGCTTATAAAATATGGCTGGAATATTATCTGGACTAAATTTATAAACAGCTAATTCAATAATTCTTATTTATATAACACAAAACGAAAACCAGATCTATCAGAACGAACGATTGAGTAAGAAAATATAGTATTGTACATTTGTATACATGAACAAAAATTAAAATGTCGTATATTCTATTTAAGCACAGATTAAAAGTAGTCATTAGAGTCTAAAATTGAGACTTTATAACTAAATTTTCTAAATCTAAATTTTAAAAATTCCGAAATTTTTAGAGCTAAATGCAAATTGATTGATAATAGAAGCAAAATATCAATAGCTATTACGAAAAATTTGACATTTAGAATATTTTGTTTTTGAATGGTTCTATATATAGCCTATATATAAAATAATAGTAATAATAAAATATAGCAACGAGTTGCGTAACTTTCCCGGCTGTAAAGAGATTTTATTTAAAAAAAAAAACTTGTATATTATTAATCATCTACATAAATAAAAATGTAAATGTTCATTTGTTCAAAATCTTAAATCTCCGAAAGTTCTTCACCGATTGCATTAAAATTTTGAAACAATGTTGCATTCGAATACGCGCGTTTTTATATTATATAGATGTCGAAATTCTCCCCATGGGGGAGAGAGACATGATTCAGGCTGACCGTGAAGAACTGGGCTTCTATTATACTATTTTAGATATGTTTTTTTTTTTTGCGTTTTTAATTGTGTTTTAATAGGGTTCGTGAAGAGAATGTACACTAAGAAGGGATTTTTCGAAATTCCTCTCCGCGGGGAGTGTTATACATTTATAATAAATACATTTTGAGCCACAGCAACGTGTGGCCGGGTACAGCTCGTACTATTAATAAATAAATTGTCTTTGGCGCTATTATGAGATTTTATCCTTATACTAATCTATACTAATATTATAAAGAGGTAATGTTTGTAAGTTTGGATGTAGGGGGTAATCTCCGAAACTACTCATCCGATTTCAAAAATTCTTTCACCAATATTTAGAATGGAACTTCGGGGTGAACATAGGCTGTATATTATTCCGTTAAATATTCATATAAATTAAAAGATATCATCTAGGGTTAAGGCTTTTATGTCCAACAGATGGCGCTACGAGTACGACTCCCTAAGTTTGCTTTTCTGTGAGGATGAACTAAAGCGGATCATCTTCTATCTATCTATATAAATAAAAATGTAATGTTCGTTTGTTCCTACCGATTCCTTTGAAATTTTGACACAACGCTGCATTCGAANGCAGACAGAAAGACAGACAATAGTGAGTAAAGTGAATACAAAATTTCAATGCTTTAAATTTTTTAGTTTCCAGGGAAGGTAAAGTTACATTTAAAAGATACTAGAGGAAAGCAAAATAATAAAAAAAGAAGAAGAAATACGATTCGATATGAAATTCTGAGAAGGAAGGAACCGTGTTCACCACAACCTTAGAAAATTTCAATTCTCTACTTCTAGTTTTCAATAAATCTTAAGGACAGACAAACGTTAAGACGTATATATATATATATATAGTAAATATTAATAACTAGTAAAATATTCATTAAGTCCAATCCATCTCGAGAGATGACACGCGGCGACCTCTTCCCACCTTCTTCACCTTTAATCACCAAAATTTAATAGCATCAATGTCCCTTATACACAAACTGCCATGCCAAATTTCGTTTCTTAATCTTTACCACATCCTGAGATATTAAACGAAATAGATGCCAATAAACACAGACACACATTTGTTGCTAACTCTCCTTTTATTAATAATGATATCGATTATCTCTTGATTTGATTTTTATGTTATTATATAACATTATTAGAATAAATACTTTTATGTGGAGTAGCAAATTACATATTAAAGTTTGTAATTTAATATAAAAAAGATAAAAATTCATATTCAAAGAGAAAGATGCGTGAATAATACCGAAATATATACATAATTTAAAACATTTTAATTAAAAATTAAATGAATAATTATATTTTGTCAGTTAAGTTTGTCACTAAAAGTTCTCTGTAGATCATACTGTTCAATCCGTATCATTATCAATAGGAGAATAAGAGGTCTGTCTGCTTATCCATCTGTACGAAAAAACGTAAATTAAATACAGATTTAAAATACAGTATATATCACGAAATAACATAAAAATTACTTACATAAAAATTATCGCGGGAATCATTAAAAGAACTGTCATCATTAGATAGGATGTCCCGAGAAAAATGTGCAAAGTTTGTGCATAAACTACGTTAAAAACAATATTTGAAAATACTGGCATCAACGCTCCACAAAATGCTAACACAGCAAATATCTTACCTGTAGATTTTTAATTAATGTACATTATAAATATAAAATGAAAATTAAATAATGATTTATTTAAACATAATAATTCAGAAAACTTACTTAATTCATTTTCATTTGCCAGTTTAGAAAGATGAGAATTGACAGCAACGGTGCTAGTTCCACCAATTAATCCAACAACACAACCTAGAACAATACATAAGTATAAATTCGGATAAATTCATTTTGAATAATATTAAAATTTATAATACTAATCTTTGGTTAGCTTTCAACATCAATTTCTGCTTCTAAAAAACAGAAAATATTTTTACATTTTCTGCTTTTGTTTACAACTAAAGCTAGTACAGTACAATTAGCCAGAAAAAAATTATGTATGATTTTCTAACTATTAATAAATTATAAGTTTTATGTATAACTGTTTATATGATTTTTAATGCCTAGATGTCCTAGCCTTATTCATAACAAATATTTCAGACAGAACTGCTATCATATCCTATTCTATATTTAATAACATGAGAAGAATATATATTGAATTCTATTAGATCTGTTATATCTAACATACCTAGAGAAAGTTATGCCCATGCACGAAAATTTCTTTACCGATCAGGATTCGAATCCGGATCCCCATATGTTAGCTAAACCTACTCGCGTACATTTACACAAACAACAACTAGATATTATGCTTTCTTTCATTTTCCTTAATATATATAATATCTGATCTTACCTACATAATACGTCCATTGACGATAAGCTACACACTTAATACCAAATTCTGCAGCGTAAGAAATAATTCCCAAGAGGCCAATTATATCTTCGGACATTTTAAACAGTCGAGAACAAACTGGTACAGCTACAAGAAGACATATTCCGTGAGCTACTTTAAGAGCTGAAGTTATTGTAGAAAATGTTGTGTTATCCCATTTATACATTCTGTTTGCAAAGAAAAATTCTATAGCTGTAGAACCTAAAAAATATTTTTTTAAATTATAATTTTAAATAATTTAAACTTCAGTATTAAATATTATCATATTAAATTAAGCAAAAAATGCGAATTATATTTGTTCTACTTTTCTGGCTCTGTTATATATAACAGAGAGAAAATATGGCAATCGATCAAAAAATAATTCCCCCAAGATTTTTATATTTTTGGACTCAGGGGACCTTGAAACGTTTAAAAATTCGAGGTTTTTTCTGTATGTATGGACGTTAATGTGTGGGGGACACGATTTTATTCACCCTTTTTAAAGCTTACTCCTGTGTATTTTGTCGAAAATTTCTGAAATTTTTCAGGGAGGTTTGTGTATCAAGGGGATTGATGCTTGTAAATATTGGTGGTTCAAGATTGACGGGGTGGGAAGATAAAGGGGTATCGTGTGTCGTATCTCGAGTAAGGTCGGACTTAATGACGATTTTATTAGTTATTAGCATTTACAATTTATTTTTTGTAAAACCCATCCCTACCATCAAAATTAAGTTTTTTGCCATCATATAATAATTAAAAATATAAAAAAATTCAATAATAAAATATCATAACAGATGGCACCACGTATAGTTTTAAACGTTGCCGGGAAAGTTAAGCAAATTGTTGCTGGATTTTTTTTTAAATATGAATTTTTGAAAGCAAATTTGATTTAGGATCTCCAATATATTGCAAATACTAAATGTATATTACGCTGAAAATTGTTAAAATAATATAAAATTCAGAATAAATTTATCTGTTTATGTATATTTCAATAAACAGCTTTTTTTGTAATAACTAGTAACATAAAAATTAAGATCAGGAGTCATGGCAATAACCCCGCCAAGTAAACTAGTCACTACTAATTTGAGGCGGAGAACATATATTTAAATTAAATATATTAAAAATATGATTAAAAATTGCAGTCCGGCATTGTGACGATGTTACAATAAATAATTGCTCGTTTATATTATTTATATTATTTATACTTATATATCACGAATCATTAACGTGAAATGACATCAACAGAACTTACCTGTTGTGCAGAACAGAGCAACACTGTTAGCAAGCATAAGCAACCATATTTGCATTCTGACATTTCCAGGACGAGAAGCAATGCAAGTTCGAACATTTTCTTTTAAATTATCCAATCGAAACAAGTAACGAAGCTTTACTTTAAAGTTCGTTTTACTCTCTTTACTTCTTGTTTCACCAACGAAGAAAAGTACCCAGAAAAATCCCATTACTAATGCAGATAAAGCTATTCCATAAACGGCCGTAACGCCTTCGTACTTATAAATTATTCCTCCTAATTCCATTCCAATGGGATCTGCCAGAACGAAGAAACATTGCAAAATTGTAAATTTTATCGTTCGAGTTTCTTCACTTGTAATGTCTGCAACGTAAGTATAACAAGACGAAATTGCCATTAAGTATCCTCCAAAAATTCCCGACGGAATACCCGCTACAATTATAAAGTAAGCAGGCGCCGATCGAATGATGCTTACTATTGTTAATCCTATACCTTCCAAAATTAAACCAAACGTAGCACTTAATATAGGGAACTTTCTTCCATACTTATCACTCCAGGGACTCAATAGTGTAGTGCTAATAATAGCTGGTAGAGTCGTCACTAACGAACTTCCTAGATTGTAACGAGTAGAAATTTTCTGTACAGATGCTTGAATGGAATCGTATTCTGTAAGATTATTGCATATTTTTTCCGAATAACCAAAATGGAATCTGCACACTCGTTCTAATATTAAGCTCTGTTGAGATACATTTTTCAATGAGATAACAAACATAATTAAAAATAAAAAAAGTTCAATACGTAATTCCCGCACGTGGTTAATGATGGTCATTTTCTCACTTCGACGTTTGTTAATATGTTGTTTGAATGTTAAAGTTACATTTTTTCCTACAGCTGGAAAGAAAAAAAGGCTTTTAATGCATTATTTAAAATAATGGGCACTAAGTACATAAAAAGTAGTTAACGTTAATAAAAAGAAATGTAATGAACTACTAGTTAACTATGTAGTTATTTTGTTTTTATGAAAAGTAGTTGAAACACACAGTTATACGAAAAGAAACATTAGATAGGTTAAAATAACAGTTAAGTTTTCATTCTATCCTATTTATTTAACACTTTTATTTCCTTTCTTAAGTGAAGTCTCAGAATACAAGTTTTTCAAATTTTTCATATGACATTCCGCAACGACTAGATGTTAAAATTTGTCCTGACAAGGAAAACATGTTCCACTGCACCACTACTGGTGAGGATAGTATTGTATTTTAAAAATCATTCTTTATACGCAGGTAGTTGTGTAATACACACAAACCAAGATTGGGCTTGATCAGTAGTTTAAGGCAATGCAACACTTGAATAATCTGTTAAGGGAAAATTATCTATGAGGAGGACTTGTGGAAAATGACCCCTATTTGAGTGTTAATTACTAAATTAGGGCAGTAATTGTAACTAGTAGTTATTTGTATGTGTAGTAGTGATATGTTAAAGTTTAAGAAACCCTCCAACCGAGTCAACCCAGTCTTGGTTTCGTGCCTGCCAGCAAGCTGGTTCACCCTATCGACATCAGTGAACTGTCTCCTAGCATTAGGTGCTGTGGCAGCAGCCACATCCCAAAAACATAGTTATAATGGCTTAGCCCAAAGGCCAAGATAGGCCTGAGCACACCGCCAAGAGGCCTCGACCAAAGACAGGGCGCCGAATGCTTCCCAGGCCCTACAGCCCAGGAATAAGTCAGTTTACAGGTATACAAACCCTGCACCTTGTAACTAGTAGTTAACTACATAGTTTAATTGCATTAGTAAACTCATCTGTATTACCCATGTGTAGAGTTGTAATACGTCCCGTATATACGGGACTGTCACCGTATATATTACTATTTGTCCCGTTTTCTCAACCAAGTTCCTGAGTGGGAAGAAATAGAATGTATTGCATATTTACAAGTAAGAAAAATCGATATTGGCAACACAGAGATTCTATTCAACCAGTTTGTGTATCTAAAAGATTATTTAGAGAAAAATAATATCAACCAAAACTGCGAAGCAACTATGAAATTGAGTATGGAAGAAAAATGGCTGAAGTTTTTGCAGATACAAAGCATTGATCAGAAGTCATTTGTAATAAAGTTATACGAATAGTGTTTGCCATTCCAACACACAATGCAAATGTGAAAGAGAATGTTATCCCTAATGTCAACTTAATGGTCGACAAAAGAAACAGGTTATCAGTGGAGACAATTGAAGAAATTTTGATTTGTCATTATAATTTTAAAATGACTTGCGCCCAATTTTATAATTATGTGAAAGAAGAAAACGATATAATTAAGAAAATAAAATCAACTTTTAAATAAGACTGGGCTAAAAAGGATTAGACTTGCATTTTTTTTATTATTCTACGTATTCATTTTATTAGATTGCTTAATTAAACTTTATTGATTTTTTATCAGAGTAAAATAAAGCATTACCTATCCACCATTTTCATGTTTTATTTATTTAACACTTAAATAAATGTCCCGTATCAATGCTTGGCAATTATGGCAACTCTACCCATCTGTAATTATTTATATATTTTATCTTTGTTCTTATAATGTATAAAATAGTATCTTATTACAGTACAGTATTATTATTTAATAAAGAGTAATACACCATAAGGCNGATTTATTGCAATGCTATATGTAATAAGGATAATAAGTGGAAGCAGCAAATCTACGAAATAATCCCGAAATCTCCAGTCTACCAACCAAATAAAATGGATTTTGCCAATTGAATTTATCTCAATTACTATATTTTGTAAAATTGCAACCTGATTAATTAGGCGATCAACTGCCATAATATCTTTAAACGAAAGACGAGAAAACCTTAAAAATACCCTAAAAGATAACTTTCGATAAGTATATGGAATTACTGTCCTACTGAATTGATTATACGCGTGACCTCGCGGGAGGTAGAAGTATAACTGATAGTTGTACATATTATGTTATTAGACCAATATGAATCTACAATCGTATGTTCATTGGACAGAGAGAGGCCTCTAGAAGATTGTCTCGAATAGCGAAATGCGTGAATGAATAACATTACTTTTCAAGTATCATTTTACAATAATAAACTCATAGACTGTGCAATAAAGATTCTAACTTTTATATACCATTTTCTTTACTGCATCAATGTATCATAACATAGTAGAATGAAAATTAAAACGCATTACCTGTCTGTTGTTTTGCTGCTTGTTAATTGTTTTGAGCACAAGAAGTTTCCAAAATGTTTCCACGTCTCTCTGGAAAATGGATTATAACATTTGAGAATGATACTTCTTCCTAGAATAATTTAAGAATTTAATTTTTAAGAATAGAAAAGATCCAAATGATTGATTAATTAATTAAATATTAAACTAATTTTCTAATACAACGCATTTATTGTCTCATTGAAAAGAATATAAGACAATATCCAAGCGAATATTATTTATAATCTGATAAATTAATTTAATTCGATGCTAAATGGAAACAACCTTAAATATTTTTTATGAAAATTTAAATCTAAAACCAGAAAAATAACTCGCAATTTCCAGAAAACTTTCTATTTCAAGATGGCGCCGGAGAATACGAAATGGAACGAATTCGAATCTGCACAATGTTACAGTTAATGCGTCACGCTTACGTCATAAGCTCTACGTCAGAATATTAACTAATTGCAAATGTTTTATTTAAAACGCTAAAGTAGTCCTCTTTTTCTAAAATATCACTAAGAAATTTGTAATAAAATTATTAAACGTATTCGGTATCCTTACAGGCAGCAAATATAGGTTTAAAGCGTATCTAATTTAAATTAAGTTATTCAATTTTGATAAATTATTAATCGAAAAATATTAAGTTACCTACGTTACGCTAGCTTTCGTTATTAAAATTCGTACGAAAAATGTCAAAATGGAGGGAAAAATAACTCGCAATTTCCAGAAAACNGAAATTCCAAGTAAAAAAAAATCTATATGACATTTTTAAACACCAGATGACAGCACAATACGTGTTTTTATTTGAAAACGAAGTAGTGTTATTGGTTTTGGTTCCGATTTTGTATTGATTTCTTTCGATTTTATGGTGAATGAGATAAAATATTTTAAAGAAAGCAATTCGCAACGTTCATTTTCTCGTGCCAAATTACAATATCCACTAATCCTATTCAATACGAGCGAAAATCGCGATATTTCTGCTGAATGTTGCCTGTCTTTCTGATTGTAAATTAGTCGCAAGTGGAATAAATAAATATACTTAAATAAGCAATAACTATAAATTTTAATATGACACTTACCTCAATTAATTTGACATTAGTGTAATTAGTTCCGAAAGGAGAAAGCAAGTAATGCGATTTAACCTTTGCTGATAACAAAATAATTATACTCGTTTAAAGTCCAGTTGAATGCGTAATATGATAAAAAGCTATATATATAGATTAATTAACTAAATAAACAAATGAGTTTGAAAACTTTTATCGAGTTAAAGTGAATTCAAATATTGGAAACGTGGTTAGATCGAGGATACGTCATGTTTCCACAGCGACCTCAGACGATCACACAATTCTGAACGTCCTTGATCCTGTTACTTCCCGGCTGTTATAACACGAGAAAGTATTGTAATCGTCTCAAACTTTTTCTGATTGTTATAACATTGTAATCGCGTCACATTTCATCCTCCGGGTTTTTAGAATCTCGACGTTATGATACAACCCTGAACCCCAAAAACACAAAAAAACTGAGACAGTATCCGGGATATGTATGTTTGTGTGTTTATGATAGCGTTATTTCATTTAATATCTCAGGATAAAGATTAAGAAACAAAATTTGGAATGATAACTTGTATATAAAACACATTAATGTTATTAAGTTTTGGTGGTTTAAGGTCGAGGAGGTGAGGAGAAAAAGGGGGTCATGTGTCATATCTCGAGTGCAGTCGGGCTTAATGGAAATTTTATTCGTTATTAAATTACAATACATTTAGAAACTCTACCCTCAAAATTAAGCTATTTTTTTGCATTTTTATAATAATGAATAATATAAAAGTTACTTTTTAATAACATTTTATAACAGATAATGCCACAAATAATTCACTATTGTCCTTGTCTATCGTGACTGTGTTTCTGAAACATTAATGTTTTTTGCTGGGAAGTTACATGTAATTCGTTGCTGGAATTTTGTTGTAGTGGTCAGAATTGTGGCTAGTAAATCTAACTTTTCAATTATGAATTTTCTATAAGTACTTGGAACAATTTTGTAATGGTGCTTGTAACCCCTACATCGTAAACTTTTTATTTTATTTTTAGAGTTTATTTAATATTTTCAAATGTTTATTACTGTATTTTAAATTCGTACGTTAATTTTGGAATTGAATGATACTTTATTAATTCGGACATGATGAACATGAAAATAAGTTATTACAATTTTATAGCAAAGAAACAATTTCTGTGGAATTAACAATACAACTTAACAGAGCCTTCTAAAACCTCCTCTTGCCAACCGGATGGCTGAAGCAATACGTTAATGCTTCCTCGGATCGAATTCAGACGGGTCGAAGAAAACCCAGAAGTTTTTTGATCAGGTCCGTCCCAGATATGTCCATCCCGTCTCTCACGACTGACACATTGTGCACCTGGCCGAAGCTACGATAACCATAAAAAAAACTTCTTTCAAATTTGTTTAGTTTACTGAGATATAGCAACGTTACACATGGGTGATCTGCAGGGCCGGATCATCGCATAGACAAATGAGACAAATGTCTAGGGCCCGGTTTTTAGAAGGGCCCGGTCAAACTGTCTATTTTGAAAACATTTGTAAATAAGATAGATTACTCTTCTGTTGGACAACTGTATAATACTGGTAAAACTGGTAAAATATTATATTATTTAAATATTAATCAAAAAGGTTAAATTAAACAAGTAAAACGGCAAAACCATATTTGGGACACGACTATGTCTCGAAGACACTACTAAGCGGAATCACTTTGACGCTCAAAGCGAATCTCTTTCTCATTCTCCAATCTTCTTTGGTATCGCTGCTTTTGGGTGCGATCGTTCAAACTTCGCCAACCACGACCACGAGGTCGTCCACCATGCATTTTCGATGAAATTAACCTATCCAATTTCGAAATTTCTCTCCGTTGCGTGTTGGCCCGGGTTGAATTTTTGTCGATGCCTAACGAAAATTTCTCGTCTTTGAAAAAATTATCGTGGCTATTGTATCGTCCGAAATTATTTTTTTATTTTTATTTTGCACAAACAATATACAGTTTAACCTGATTATAACGTCAAATTTTTACTGGTCCCACGATTTTACTATACTAGACAATGTTAAAAAAACCTAGTTGTAACGACATAAAACCCTGTTTTAATGTCATATTTGAAGCACTCCCAAATTTACAAAATTAGATTACAAATTTTATTTAAGAAAGAAAATACTACGTGTTCAGTCCTAGGGTCAGAGTCTATTTCCTTGAACGACTGTGGGTGGAATTCTCACCACCTGACTTCGGTTTGCCTGTTTGTAGAGAGAGTCGCCATTTTGTATTTTATTTTCACTCAGTTCTCGGTCCCGAGTACCTACAAGTCAGGTTTTTTTATGCGCGCATGATTTGGGCACTTAATACTCTGTGCCATATTGCAACTCCTGACATGTACTCCTTCATACCTCTAAGCTAGTAACACAGCAAGCAGTACGATTTTATAAACAAGACATAGTCTTGTTGAAAATGATTTTTTTAAGGTAATATTGTTATTTTACAACAACTTTTGTTAGACATTTAATAAAACAAATTTCAATATTTTAAATTTATAAACAAACTGTTCAAACTTTTCTAGAAAAACTAAAATTTATTGTTGTGTATTAAATATTTTTTATTAATAAAAATTTATAAACAGTTTNGCGTCACGCGTTACGTCACGCATTTTACGTCATAGATGTGATATTTCGAGAACTTTAATTGCATTTTTTAAAAGAAACTTTCTTTTGAACAAATTTTTTTATCTCGAATTTGGCAAAATATTTCTTAAATGTAAAACTTCGTAAAAAAGAAAATTTATTTACACAGTAAAAAATAATTTCTAATAAAATACGTGTTTTTTTTAAAATACGTTTTAATAAAATACATTTTTTCGATTCTAATGCGCATCTTTTTTGGATTTTTTTAAATCTTAGGATGTCGTTATAAGCGAGCACAAAGTCGACTTAAATTCTGCCTCGTTTCTCACTCCGCTCGGCAATTCGCGTACATTATGTCGTTATAAACCCTCCCACTAATTCGGTTTTGTTTTGAAGCTGTTTGATGATCTTTTACAGTAATTATAGCAATGCGAGTGAACAATGTCTGGCAGATAGGTCACCCATTAAGCTAAGTTTACTAAGCTCGTATAAGCCTTAATCCTTATTGTAGGATGAAGATTTCTTCATATTAAATAATTGCTATGTAATCTTTTTAACAGTACTAAAATTTTTCTTTGCTCCTTGCAAAGCGCAATTACTATAAGCAATTGTCACTTCTTTTACTTTAATCTCTTGCAATATAACAATTCTTATATCATCATCGTTTGCATCTCAGAGGCAGGCAAACGGGGCACTTTTCCTTCTGAGATAGAGTAAAAAATCTCACAAATTATTATCATAAAAGTGATTCAGATATGTAACCTTTCACCCTGGACTCTGGGATTCTTTTTCTCAGTCCAGTGTTTATGGTTTGCCGCTCAACAGTAAATGCGGAATTGAGGCATTTAAATAATTGTTTTACATATTTTATCATAGCAATCGTCCGTTCCTAAACATAACTGGGATTCGTTGCTAAAGACAATTTGCTGCCAGTCTGTGACAGCCCTTGCTTCTTTGTCACGGCATTACTGCACAAGTTAACGATGATGTTGTGATGCTAATGTCGGAACAGGTATCGTGGACACTAAGAGAGCTTTTTTTCAAGACTACTGTCGATTTCGCCAGATAAACAATGCAGGCAATCGGGTGGCGAGGGCCTGACCCCGACATATTCAGGACAGACCATTCCTTAAAAATTCCTGGAGTTGTGCGCTCAGATTTGATCATTGGTCTCTCAGAACGGTAGGCTGTCGTCCAGTCGGTGTCAAACCTGTGAGAAAAATGAAGTCCTTTTAATCATATTCATCATGAATTTGACCATAGTCCTTAATGGGAGCTAGTAGTTTTTTTTTAACTCTTTCCGCCCTGTGGGCACTAAGAGGGCCTCTTTTTGCAAGCCCATTATAGGTTCGGCCAGACCCACAATGGGGCTGTCGGGTGGTGAGGGACGGGACCCGACATATCCGAACGGGCCAATCCCCGAAAAAATACCTGGGGATTTTTTGACCCGCTCGGATTAGAGACCGGGTCTCCCAGAGAGGTAGTCTGCCACTTTGACCGCTCGGCCATCCGGCCGCTAAGGGCTAGTAGTGAGGGATTGAAACCTGGCATATTCGAAACAGATTGACCTGAAAAATTTATGAGGTTTCAAGTTTACACTAGAGTTTGAGTCCCCATAGCTACCTGTTCCATTTCGAATTGTGAAGATAATAACACTGGACTTTCTTGGCCACACGAAGGACTAAATTCGGTCTTCACAACAAATTGGAACTACTCTTACAGTTTCTCGAAGTAATCAATAATATTTATCTTAATGAATTATTATTAAATCAATATTTTTTCTATAGACCTTGTCGAGATGTGCCATATTAATGGCTAATGTTATATTTATGTATGTAATGTTTATTAATCAATTTCCAAATAAATTGAACCCCTCGAATTATTTTTATTGTTTTAACTTTTACGTCTCGAAGTACTTTAAACAGTAAGTTAATATAATCATTGAATAATCATACATTTTTTTTGGAGATTTGCATTAATAAACATTTTCTTAAGACTTCAGAGTACTATTGCTTTCTGAACTTTTAGTTTGGAATGTTACAGTTTAAGTTGTAGGAATTTTTTTAACGATACTTTCCAAGAATGAGAAAATACTTTTTGCTCAATTCATAAACTAAACATTTTTGACGAAAAATTAAAAATTTTTATTTGTTGCTGTTTTAGAATTAATTCTTACTTATAAGTAATTTTTTTTATTAATTAAGACAACGTTAATGACCGAGAGGCTAAAGTGCCAGTCTACCGCCCGTTCCTCATTATTTGGCCGCACCCTGTAGTTTAAATTCCTTGTGTAGGGGGTTACCCTATTAATCACTTAATCGGCACAGGCTGGCGAAGCCCGATCTCGACGTCGACGGATGGCTTAGGAGGGCAAAAAGTGAGTGGGGAGTGCGTTTGTAAGCCGGCAGGCGTCCTTCCAATGACAGGAGACAGGTTTAACAAATAAACAAACCATTTATTAAAATAACAAATCTTGATTACAGGAGGCGATAATAATATTACGGTTAAATGCGGTTAAATATGAGCTAACTATCTTACAGCTAACAGCTCTGACAGCTAAGCCTATCCTCGGAGAGAGAGTTCACAAATCTCTAATAAAAATACCTCTATGAGGAAATGAATGACGTGCGTTGAATGGTCGTGGGAATCGTAATCGGTGCAGGAACTGTCGAATGGCGATAAGTATGGAAGTTCAAAGTTGTGGTCTATCTTCTATCGATGTCTTCCTTTCGGTCGGTTATGGAGACAAGATGCACACATTAATGAGTATAACTTCCTGTGGATCGCCTCGAACT